GCCCACACCCCATGCATGTGTGCTGACAGATGCATGTGCTGCCAGCTGCCCCCTCCTCCCAGACCTCCCCAGGGTAGAAACCAGCCAGGCCCCAGTGAACACCCCAAAACTTTATTAACAGAATGGTGCTTTCCAGCAAAGGCACATCACATGTAGGTGGAGCTGGCATCCCTGCCTGCCTGGCTGAGCCCCTTGCCCTCAGAGGCCCTGGGCTGCTGGGCACAGTGTCCGGTTGAGGCAGGTCTGGCAACGTGGGTGGACAGGCAGGCAGGTCTGCTGGCCGAAGCCCACCAGCAGGGTGTTGATCTCCCCCCACAGTTCCCTGTGGGGTCAGAGGTGGCGTCAACACCACGGGGCAGGCCCTGCCACCCCCCTACCCCAGCCCACCCTGCCGTACCTGGGCAGCCACTCCTCCAGGGCGGCACGGGTCTGCTCTGGGGCCTTGGTCTGCCATTTGGTCCACCCGAGCCGGTTGGCAATTCTGTGTACATGCGTGTCCACCGCTGTGTGGGGCCGCCAGGGCAGGTGAGCAGGGGCTGGCTCCAGCCACCAGAGCCTCCCACTCCCCACCCTGGCTCTCTAGGGGGCGCTGAGCCAGAGCCCGCCTCTCACCTCCCAGCCTTCGCCTGTGGTCCTGTCCCCTCTGCCCAGGCCATCCCTCTCCTTCCTTCAGGTCACGGCATGAGCACTCTGCAGAGGCCTGCTGCCCAGCCCCTGGGACCTCCCCACCGCGTGTCTCCTCACAGCCCTGTTCTCTCCTGGCACTGACCACAGCCAGCAACACCCAGTAGACAGGGACTCAGTGGGTACCAGGGTATATGCATGGAGCCAGCTGCCCCAGCCTCTAGGCTGACCCACTGCTGCCAGGCCTGGCCAGACCTAGAGGTGCTCGACCCTGTGTTCAGGTGCAGCCAGCATCCCAGGGAGTCCCGGAGGTCTCAGCTCTGGCTGACCTGTGCCCAAGAGGCAGGAGCCGCTGGAGGAGGTGTCCCTGCTCTGGGCTCCCTTCCCCCACAGGGACTGCTCACCAGCGCTGTGTGCTGGCAGGTGGCCGGACCACGCTAGGGTTTTCCTGCCTCATCACTTAAGCCCTCACTTGGCGCGCACACGGTGTCATAGCTGTGGGCACAGGCTTAGAGTCACTGCTGGGAACAGGGCGGGGGGCTCCAACTCCTGCATCCGCCTCCAGCCTCCTCGGAAAACACCGGATCTGGGACAGCCTGCCTGCTGCACTCTGTCCCATCGGAAGCTCCTGTCCGTGGGTACCAGACCTGGATGGCAGCAACTCAGCCCAGTGGGCCGTGATGAGGACCTGTCAGCTGGCACCTGCCTCTGCAGCTGTCGGGTACAGAGTGGGCAGCGTGGCAGGCCAGCTGTCTGTCATCAGTCTGGCCAGCCCTGCTTGGCCTGGGTGCCTGCTCACTGGGGCGTCCTCCCCACAGCCCTGGCCACCCTGCCTGAAATCCTGGCCTGCTGCCACAGCTGTTTCCGTGTTTGCCAGACAAAGCAGGTGAGCACGCCCATCCCCACAGGGTTTGAGCCACCAGCAGTTCCTTGCTCTGTGACATACAGGTGACAAGTGCCAGGAGGCTGCGAGGGAAGGTGCTTGGCCTAGGTCTCCAGGGGCCTCACTGGGTCCACTCACCTGAGTGGGTGGGCTGGCCCTACATCAGCACAGTGACTGTGTCACCCTCTGCCTTGGGGCCCAAGGCCACCCAGTTGGGAGCAGGCATAGCTGGGCTCAGCTCTGACTTCCATGGGGAACCCCTCGGGAGCCAGGGCTGACCCCCGAGGTCTCCCTGCGGTGGCCAGCCCAGAGACCCATCCAGAGAAGGTGGCGTTGTGACATTCCTGAAGGGCGCACCTGCACAGGCCTGCCCCGTCACAGGCAGCCGCGGACAGCACTCAGACAAGCTCAAGTGTCTGAGAGGCTGGCAGGTGGGAGCCGAGGGGTGCAGGGAAAGGTTCGGCCACCTCCCGCTGGGCCCCAATCCCCAAGGGTGAGCACACTCACTTCGACCTCCCAGGCTACCCCAGCCAGCATCTCTGGGGGCCACCCAACCCCTCGGCAGGTCCCAGAGGGGCCCTGCTCCCAGGCGGACAAGGAGGGTGGGGAGCCTCTATGGCCAGGAAGGTGCCCAGGCCTGGGCAAGATTCCAGCGAGGCCCCTCCTCTGTCCCCACGTGCCCCAGCTCTGCTCGGTCTGCCCTCACCTCGTGCTCCCCGCCCCGCCTCATGGCTTTGTGGACACTGCTCCTGCTGCCTGGTCAACCCTTCCTCCCCCTGCTGCTCCCAGTGAACCGCTGCCTCCACCAGGAAGTGCTCCTAGGGCCCCCAGGTCAGGCCCGACAGTGCCCACACGCCCCCCCACCAGTCCCCCTCCTACAGTGCAACCTGTGTCTGGGGGCGTCCTCTGAGCCCAGCACACAGTAGGTGCTCAACAGACACGAACTCATTAGAATATGTGTGGATGACAAAGACCTAGCTCAGTGCTGAGAACCCCTTTCTGGCCCTTTGGGCTGAGTCGTGGGTCCCAAGAATGTGGGGGACCCCAGCAGCAGCTAGTAGGCTAGGAACGGCCCCTCCCTCCTTCGCTGGGGGCACATGCCACTCACCAATGCCCGACACGGTGCCCCAGGCCACAGCCATCGCCAAGTGTGCCATCTTGGGCCCGACACCAGGCAGGGCCACCAGCTCTGGCACAGAGGTGGGGATGTCCCCACCGTAGTGTTGCTGCAGGATGGCACTGGTCTGCTTGATGAACTTCACCTTGGTCTGAAAGTGGGGGTGTTGGTGCTGTCAGGAAGGGGGAGGGGCAAGCCCTGGAGAGCCCACTGATGCCAAAGCTACCTGTCATCTGCCCGGGATGTACAAAGAGGCACCTGTCCACCTCTCCCAGGAAGCGGGTGCACACTGGGGCAGCAGGGAGGTGGGCCTGGGTACCTGCCTCCCACCCACCGGGGCCAAGGAGGAGAGTGTGGGGTCCGGCTTGGGCCACCCTGCCTGCCAATCTTCCCAGTGACCAGGCCAGGCTGGGCCGACAGCCGTAGGAGCCTGGGCCTGCAGGAAGGCAGGCTGGACCTGGGGCTCCCCCATCAGCTGCCAGGCCCACCAGGAGGTTCCCGTCTTCTGCTGGTCTGAGGTTTATTTAAAGCCCGTGTTATGTGCAGCGGCCCAGGCCAGTGCCAAGGGGAAGTGGCTCCACCCGCTGAGCTGCTCTCCGCTGACCCGTCCACCCTCCACCCGTGTCCTTGACGGGTGTGGGGGGCAGCCAGGCTGGGACTCCTAGCGGGTGCGGGGCTTCTGATGGAGGGTGGGGGTGACACTCTGGGGAGCCTTGGAGTCAACAAAAGGAAAGTGGGGTGGGCAGCCGGTACGGAAGGGAAGGGCCGGGTGGGGAGGAGGAGGAGGAAGGAAGGGGGGGTGCAAACAGGAAAGGTCCAGGAGCTCCTGGTGGGTCCCCGCAGGCTGGTCACTGGGTGGGGGCAGGGGCTCTGGCAGGGATGTGTATCTGGCCTTTGTGGCCCCAGAGACGCCTGGCCCCACCTTCAGCACCCCCGCCCTGGCCAAGCTGTGCTCCTCGCCGTCACCCTAGGCCGGGCTCACCCTCCAGAAGCCGACTGGGTGGATGAGTGCGCCTAGCGTGCTGTCATCCGTCTGCAGGATGCTGTCCACCGTCAGGCCCCGAGCCCGCAGCCGCTGCATGGCACCTGCGGTCACCTGGTCCTTAGTCTGGCTGGACAGCATCAATGAGAGCAGCACCTGGTACCTCCGCACCTGTGTGCAGAGAGCCAGGGGTCAGGGAGCCAGGCCTCTTGTTTATCCCGGGCCTGGCCGGCTGAGGCCTGTTTTGCCCCCTGCAAACGTGGGGACGCTAATAGTACCTGCCTCCCAGGACTGCCGTGTGACTTAAACGAGTTATGGTGCTTAGTGTCATACCCGGCACACAGTCACGCTCTGTGGCCACTGGCTGCTATTGTTACTGTCACTGCTTTGTTAAAAATCACCACACCCATTTCACAGATAAGCAGACTGACACTCAGAGAGAAATGCTCCCGAGTCAGCCAGCAGCTGGGCTTGGATTAGAACCCGGGTTTGTCTAAGGACCCAGGCTCCAGGCCAGTGCAGCTCCACAAACGTTTGTGGGTGTACTGACGTGCTGACACTGTGGCCAGCCGAAAGGAGAGCAGGAGGCCCTGGACCACGGACACTCACTCCAACCTGCTGGCTGGCCTCCAGTGAAGCTAATGATACCGCACACCTGTGGGAGGGGAGGGTGCCAGGAAGAACCGCCAGACTCAGGCTGTGCCCTGCTGGCAGCCTGTGAGGACGTGTGTGGCTAGTTGGGAGGGGGGTGACCAGGCAGACGTGGCCCCTGCCCACCTTTGGGGGTGCGCTGGCATCGTAGCAGTGTTCGACACCCAGCTGGTCCACAGGTGCATCCTTCCCGCTCCTCATGACGCGGATATGGGCCAGCTGCTGCCGCCAATCCTGGGGCTCCCAGGCCGGTGCCTGGAGGGGCTTGGCCCCCTTGGCTTCCTCACTATCATCATCTGCAGCCTCGTAGGCCACACGCAGTCTCTGAACCTTTCGCTGGCGCTTCACAGGGCGGTGGTTTTGCCTGCCATCTGCAAAAAGTGCCCCTTGGTGTTTTAAGCCAGGGCTGCAGGTGAGGGCCAGGTGTGGGCGCTACCCTACCTGCCACCTCGCCTCTCACTCAATGAAGCACCACTGTCACCTACTGCACACTGGGAACATTTGGTTCCCTGTAGCACATGTCACGTGCGTGTCAACTCCACGTGCATCAGAGTACGACCCTGCTCCATAACGTCTTCAGTGGCCGATTTTTTTTTTCCCCTTCAGACTTAGATCACCAGGTCTTTCTCCCAAGATGCCTCTAGCTGGACTTGAACTCCCAACCTTTCAGTTGGCAGCTAGTCCTTAACTAGCTGAAAACTGCGGCATCATGCCTTTTTCTTATTTTCTCTGTAGCAGGGAAGATCTGGTAGCATAGTGGCTAAGACACTTGCCTGCTAACCAGACGGCGGGCGGTTCAAACCCACCAGCCACTCCTCGGAAGGAAGGTTGGGCAATCCTACTTCCGTAGTGATACTGCCTCGGAAACCCAAGGAGGGGTCGCTATGAGTCGGGGCCGACTCGACGGCACATAACAACAACAGCAGGGAAGAAGGACTTCCGGGCTGTCCTCGGCACTGGCCTCGGCGAAGGAAGTAGCTATGAGCGCAAGGCGGGGCTGACCCACGGACGGCTCCGCACAGGGCAGCCTATCTCAGGGCAGGCTGGTGATACGGCGATCTGTTGTGCCCAGAACTAGGGTTGGGGGTGCTGGGGGCGCCTAGAACCCGGCTTCTGCGCACCCGGTTCCTTGTGTCCTGCAAACACTGCGCAAGGCGAGCTGCAGGGTCCTGGGAGCTCGTTCCTAGCTGCCCAGCATCAGCCCGCGTGGCTAGAAGCCCCGGGACCTCAGCCAATAGCACCCATATCCTGCACGTCCCTTCCCTCGCCTCTCCTCCCGTGCCCCGGGCCGGGTGCCGCGCTACCTGCAGCCGCTTCTCCCCTCTGGGGCGGCGCTGCCTCCTCCCAGCTCCCTCGCGGCCCCACGCCGGGCCCACGGCTCCGGCTGCGGGTCACCATCTTCACGCCCACCGCTTTCATGCCGGCCTCCTGTGGACTACACATCCCAGCGACCCCCGCGGCCAATCACGTGACCCAGCACTCCCCCCCCCCTCCCGTCTTTTCTCCAGAGGGCCGACCAGAACTACGACTCCCAGCAAGAGCTGCGGCTGCCCTCGGTGCCGTGACGTTGCCGGAAGTGCTGGTCGCGCTTCCGGCGGCGGCTCTGGTTGGGGGTGTGTGAGCCCTGGTCCCGTTGCGGCGGCTCGGCGCGCGGCGGCTGCGGCTCGGGGTGAGTGGCAAGCGGCGCCCCGACTACTGACAGCGCTCTGGGCCGCACTGTGGCCTGGTCCGGACCGGGCATCCGGGGAGCGGGCCGCGCCCGGCCTTCTCCTCCCTGAGGCGGTGGCGGCGGCCTGAGGAGGCAGGACCCTGTCGTATTGAGGGCCGTGTCCACCTCAGCCCGACGCTGGAGCGCCAAGCGCTCCTGGGTTTCAGGTCATGGCGGGTGCGAACGGGTCCCCGCAGCAGGCGGCCCCTCGACAGTTGCACTTGCACCTCGGGTTTAGCGAGATGACCGACGTCCGCGCTCCCACCGTCTCTCTGACCCCGTGCGCGGAGCAGCGGCTCGCTAGGCCGGCCCGCCGTTTCCCCGCTCATTTCTGGCCGTGGTTGGGTAGGACGGTAGGTCCTGCCCGCCTGAGACCCGCAGTTCTGGGGACGGGTCCTCGCATGTCTCCGCCTGTTTCCCCCGCACAGAGCAGCCCCCTGGCGCCTCCCTGCCCGCCATGGCCAAGCCCACGAGCAAAGACCCTGGCTTGAAGGAGAAGTTCAAGAGTCTCCTGGGCCTGGGGACGTCACGGCCGCACGCCAGGTCTGCAGAGGGCAAGCAGACGGAGTTCGTCATCACGGCGGAAATCCTGAGAGTGAGTCCGACCCGTGCCGTCTCTGCTGGCAGATGCACCGAAGGCTGCTACTGTGGGAGGGGTGCCGGGCGGCCCCCTGCACGGGGCCGGGGTCCCCAGCACCGTGAACCCTTGGCCGCCCGTCCTGTGGGGACTGAGGGAAGTTGGGATCTGAGTGGCCAGGTCCGGGGTTTAGATTTGCATTCAGGTGTCGACGTGAGAGTATCCCTTTGGTCAGACGCGGCTGGAATGCCATGTTCTGCACAGGTGGTTAAGTGCGTCCTCAGTGCTTCTTTTTGTCTTTGGCGCCACCGTCACATGCCTGTCACTGTGCTTTGTCCATAAACAAATGTCAAATATTTGCACTTGGAACATTTCCCGTGGCCAAACGCCCATCAGCCGATGAACGGACGTGTAAGACTCTCTATGTCTGTGCAATGGAGTGTTGCTCGGCCATAAAGAGAAACAAAGTCTTGACACACTGCAACACAAATGAACCTTGAAAACATGATCCCGAGTGAAAGAAGCCAGACACCAAAGGCCGCGTGTTGTGTGATCGCACCAAAGTGATACGTCAGGGGCAGACGAGTCCATGGGGATAGAGGGTAGATTTGTAATGGCCAAGGGCTCAGGGGAGGGGCTACGGGGGAGTGATTGCTTAGTGGGAAAGGGTTTCTTTTATGGGGCGATGAGAGTATCGTGGAGTTAAGGGCACAACCTTGTGAATGAACTAAATGCTGCTGAAGCGTGTGTTTTAAAACAGCACAGTAAGCTTTATGTTGCACGGATTTTATTTCAATTCAAAAATTTCTACATCTTAACAAAATCATCCCTTGACAACACCTCTTAGCAAAATAACAGATTGGCTCATAACGTGAAGAACATCACCTGTGAGTAATAAGCTTCTTTAAAACACCATCTGTGTGAGATCGGGTGGTCAGTAACTATGCTAACGCGGGGATGAGAAAGTAAGCGGGCGTGGAAGCTAGAGCTCTGGAGATGACAGTACAGCCAGACAGAGAAGGAAAATGATGGTGCATTGTGAGACGGGGACCACCATTACTGGATAATTTATGTAGAAATCGTTAAACGGGAACCTGATTTGCTGTGTAAACAAACTTTCACCTTAAACAGAGTAATGTTGTTATGTGCCATGAGTCGGACCTGACTCATAGCGACTCCTCCTTGGGTTTCCGAGGCAGTATCTCTACAGAAGTAGATTGCCCCATCTTCCTTCCAAGGAGTGGCTGCTGGGTTTGAACCGCCAGCCTTCTGGTTAGCAGTCAAGTGCCTCAGGCACTAAGCTACCAGAGCTCCTAAAATACTTAATAAGAAAGAAAAATTGCAGTTGTCAAACAAACAAACAAAAAAGTGGCCCATTCTCACTCCACCCAGATGGAGTAGTAAACCCTTCAGTGACTCTTGGTATCAGAGAGATCTATGAGTCTGCAGTCTTGGGAAACACAGTGTGGTTCTTAGCTGTTTTGTGATAAGTATTAAGAACACCTGTCGCCTGAGCTCAGGCCCTTTTTTTTCTCCTGTCGTTTTTCTCTAGGAGCTGAGTGTCGAGTGTGGTCTGAGCAATCGTATCCGGGTCATAGGGCAGATTTGTGAAGTAGCAAAAACTAAGAAATTTGAAGAGGTAGGTTTGTCCCTCTTGGGCAGCTTGAGAGAATCAGGAGAGCTGTGGCAAAGCCTGGGTTCTCTCTTGCTAGGTGCACCGCTGACAGCTCTCTCTGCTACTGATTTGTATTTCTGGGAAATTTACCTTCATCTCAGTGCTAAGAAAACTTCTGGAAATGTCTCGAGCAGTACTGGTCCATGTCAGGTTGGAGGACACAGGAGCTTAGGGTTTTCCAGCAGATCCTGGAAAGGGTTTGTGGCAGCTCACGGAAGTGTCCTCCCGTATCAGGAAGTGGAGGGGAGGGAGAGTAGGGAGCATTGGGAAAGACCGTGGTCTCAGAGAAGAACTTGGGGCTTGGCGGCCTTGTTGCCATTTGGGAGGGGCTCTTGCTTGGTGGCCCTGAGCAGCGTCACGCATGTAGCCGTGTTTATTTTGGCCACATATTTCTACATTGTCCTCACGTCCAGCAGACAAAGGTGGGGTGGCACCATTTGTGGGGTGTGCTGGTTGCTGGGGAGTCTCTGGGTGGTGCACAGAGTTACTGGGTGTGGCTGCTCATTGAAAGGTTGGCAGTTCCACTTCCCCCAGAGGCTCGTGGGAAGAAAGGCCCGAGGGGCTGCTTCTGGAAAGTCGGCCATTGAAGCCCCGGCGGAGCCAGTTCTACTCTGACACCCGTGGGTCCCGTGAGTTGGAGTGGACTCGACAGCAGTTGGTCTTTGGGAGAAGCTGCCAGAGCCCTGCCCGGGGTTCCCGTGAGCGACTTGGGAGGAGGTGTGGGCGTCTCACCTGGCAGATCCGGGTGGTATAAAGTGAAGGGTGAGGGTGGCTGCTGCCTGGCAGCAGTTCCTCGGAGACAGGCAGGCTGCACCAAGGACAAGTGTGAAAAATGGGCACCTCCTTTCAGAACGTTACCTGTACCTGTGCAGGTGCAGAAAGGGGAGCTGTGGCCCGGCAACCAAGCAGGCCTACGAGGTTGGTGTTGTCCCCGGGGCCGTGTCTGCATGGTGGCTGCCAAAAGCCACTGCAGGCTGGGGTGGCTTTGCTAAGAGTTCTGTGAATGGGACAAGGGAGGTGGGGGTTCCAGTGGTTCCTGAGCTGGGCAGGCATAGCCAGGCACGGCCACTTTATTCTCTTCCTGAGAGGAGCAAGCCCAAGGGAGGACGAGTGGTCCAAAAACGCTGGTGGGGGAGGTTGATGGGGAGAAGGGACAGTGACACCAGGTGAGTGCAGGTGCTTGCAGGATGAGACTGACTGTGGGTCGCTTCGAGGAGTGGGACCGAGCTCTCTATGGGCTGGCTGGGAGCTGGAAGGAGGCAGATTCCAGAATCATCCACAGGCCTTCCTTCACAGGTAGAGTCAGGGCACATGTATGGTGCCAGTTGGCTTGTGATTGGTGTGTTGAAGCCAAGCCACTGAGTGAGATTTTTGGGTCAGACTGCAGCCCGGGGACTACTGTAGCTTTTAGGGTTCTGAGATGTCACCCAGTGCCTCCTCCACCAGGGTCTGAGCAAGCTGTCCACTGGAGCGCCTTGCCTGTCCCTGGAGGAAGCCAGCAGGCAGGTCCTCTGGCACCCCTCCCCAGCCTTTGCTCTGGAGCCGTCCCATCATTAGGCCTGATGTCATCATGGAGACCCATGCAGCGTGGGCTTCAGAGGACTGGGTTCTAGGTCTAAGGTCCCATTGTGTTGCTCTGCCTAATCGGTGTCCTCTGTTTGACGGATACCCACGCAGCGTGGGCTTCAGAGGAGTGGGTTCTGGGTCGAAGGTCCCATTGTGTTGCTCTGCCTAATCGGTGTCCTCTGTTTGACGGATACCCACGCAGCGTGGGCTTCAGAGGAGTGGGTTCTGGGTCGAAGGTCCCATTGTGTTGCTCTGCCTAATCGGTGTCCTCTGTTTGCTGGCGGCAGCATGCCGTAGAAGCCCTCTGGAAGGCTGTCGCAGACCTGCTGAAGCCAGATCGGCCACCAGAGGCCCGACACGCTGTGCTGGCCCTGCTCAAGGCCATCGTGCAGGGCCAGGTAAGGGTTGGGTGTACAGGGGCCAAGGTCGGGATGGGGTGCCAGGCAGTGTCCTCTGACCTCCCGTGCTGTGCTGTGTGTGGGTTCTGGGAGGGGCAGGGTGGAGGGTACAGGGTGCTGGGCTGAGATGCTACAGGAGATTGGGTTGAGGGGTTACAGAGGCTTGGCTGAAGGACGGGATGAGGCCAAGGCCTCTGGGGGCCTCTGGAGCTGGATCCCCTACCTGGGCTTCTGTGGGGCCCTCTGAGCCCCCGGGTCCTCATCTGGCAGAGGGAGTAGGAGTCATGCTTTTTGTCTCTGGGACATCCTTAGGGTTAAAAAAGGGTTTATGGGAAAGTGTTGGCGCTGTGATTGGCTCTGTGAGCTGTCATGTTAGGTGGGCTCACGCTGGCTGCCTTGGTTCCCTTGCTTCTAGCACACTGGTCCCTCTCATCTCACCTGTCCAGTTTCCTCCTTCCTGTCTTAGCCCCTCTGTGAGGCCATACCCCTCCAGGACTTGCCCTGGGGCTTTGGCTTTGTTGGACCTTGTCAACGTCTTTGAGCAACATGTGTCTGCCTGGGTTTGGGCTCTGGAGGGCAGGCACCGCATTGTCCCTCTATTGTGAGACCACCACTGGGCCCAGAGCCATACACTAGGTGCTGCACACTTAACTGCTAACAGTGGCCATCGTGGTGGGTCCCGGCCGGGGGGGGTCACATTCTGATTCCTCCCATGGTGAGTTCTGTGCTTGGCAGGAGGGTCCCCGGGTTGGAGGCTCAGTGCCCATGGCCCTCCTTGAACTTCTCAGCAGCTGCTTGGGAAGCCCGGGCTGTGAGTCTGGCAGGGCTGTGCTGACCACCTGGTTTTCTCTTCAGGGGGACCGCCTGGGCGTGCTGCGTGCCCTCTTCTTCAAGGTCATAAGGGATTATCCCTCGAAGGAAGACCTGCACGAAAGGTTGGAAGTGTTCAAGGCCCTCACAGACAACGGGCGACACATCACCTACTTGGAAGAAGAGCTGGGTGGGTGCCCCACCGGGTGTGAGGTTTCTCCGGTGGTGGGGATCACATTTAACCTGGGATGGCGCCTAGGAGGGTGCTGGGAGGGGTGCTGTAGTTCACAGCACAGCCTGAAGAGGGCGCCACGCCACGGGTCAGCTCCGGCTCCCAGGGTCGGACCTGGAATGGGAACCTGAGTCTCCTGGGGGCTTGTTAAAAATGCACATGCCTCCAGGCCCTGGGACACACAATCCCTGGAGGGGGGGTGTCTAGAAATGTTCGTGTGAGCAGGCATGAGGGCCAAGGGTGGGGCCACCTAGTTGTCAGCCACGGGCCGCCCACTGGAGGTTGTGTGTTTGTCACCCCCTCCTTGCCCACTGCCGTCTCCCACTCCCAGTCTCCCGTCTGCTCACCTTCCCGTCTCACTGACGGGAAAGGTCTCTGATCGCCTGGAGAAGAGGAGGAGGGCTTTGCTGCTCTGGTGCCAGAAATGGGCCTCCCAACCTGGTCCGTCTCCAAGGCAGGTGCAGGCAGGGAGCTGTTCTCAGGTGTCCTGCCGAAGGTGGTTTGGCTAGCAGCCAAGTGTGTGCCTACATATCCTAGAAGCACTCAGGGTGCCCATCTACGCGGGGGGTCAGGGCTCTTGTGTAGAGTGCACGGCAGCCCTCAGGCCAGCCCCTTGGGCCTGGCGCCTGGCCTGCCCATCAGTGTGAGGTGCCCATGGAGGTGACTCCCACGGTTAGCAGGAGTTGGGGAGCCATCCTGAGCCAGGCGAAGGGGAGAAGGGCAGCCCTGTTGCCATGCCAACCCTCTGCTCCTCTCCTCCCCTCCCAGCTGACTTTGTCCTGCAGTGGATGGAAGTTGGCTTGTCCTCAGAATTCCTGCTGGTGCTTGTGAACCTAGTCAAGTTCAACAGCTGCTACCTCGATGAATACATTGCATCCATGGTTCAGTAAGATACAGATGCGTGTGGCGGCTCTGAGTGATTGGGGCCACCTCTTGTCTTAGGCTTGCACTGTAGGCAAGCAGTTGTTGAAGCATCAAGCATGTGGGCGAGTGGGACATGGGGACTGCCACCCTTTGTTCAAGTTGATGTTTGTTTTTAATTTTTATTGTGATTTGGGTGAAAGTTTAGAGAGCAAATTCAGTTTCCATACAGCAGTTCACATACACTTTATTTCATAACACTGACTGCAATTTCCTACAATACAACAGCTCTCCTCCCACTTCCTCCCCATAGTTACCTGTTCCCTGTGTCCTTCCCTCCCTGCACTCCTGCCCCTTGAGCTGTCTCCTTGTGTATACACAGCCCTTGTATTCTCCCATGATTGATCTCTCCAAGGAGTGTATCTACCTAATGTAAATGTTCAGCTCACATGCCTGTCTTTTATTTGGCTGGAAGCCATGGGTGTGGGTTCAATTCCAGACCTGAAGGGCAGCTAGGGGCCATAGGCTCAGGGCTTCCACCAGGCTCTATCGGACCAGCAAATCTGGTCTCTTTTTTTTTAATTCAGGTTGATGTTTTGAGGCTCGACCTGGTGGTGGTTTTTCTTTTTTGGCACAAGCTCGTGGTCTCACATGCTTTTGTTGTTGCTGTTTGTTTTCAAAGACTTTTGTGACGTCTGTGAAGGTGGGGGCTTTGTCAGGTTCACGCAGGCACTCAGCACTGAGGGGCTGGCTCAGCAGAGCCAGCTTCCGCATCCTTGCTGGGTGGGGGGCCCTACGGAAGGGCCAGCCTCTCGCAGAGACAGCTTTGTGGCACAACCGCGTTAGATCAGGCCGGCCCAGGCCCTGGCACGCTCTCGGAGTGTGGAGCTCATTTGGGCGTTTCCCCCACAGAATGATCTGCCTGCTGTGTATCCGGACTGCGTCCTCTGTGGACATTGAGGTCAGTAGCTGTGTCCCCCGGAGATGGTCCCTTTCACTCTGGTGCTGAAGGAGCTGGGTCTTATGGGCTGTGAGCAGGTTCTGCTTGGCTCCACACCGGCATGTGACCTGGGTGAGGTGTCTAACCTCCCTGAGCCTCAGGAGCTTGACCTGGAGACAAGGAAGAGGCAGGGATGTTTAGGGGCCATCAAATTCTTGTTAAGGGAAAAACTTGGAAGCAGGCACTTGGGATGGCTGCACAGCCTGGTGGATGGAACTAACATCACTGGGTCACATGTGTCAGAGACACTGCCTCGGCGAAGTTCTGTTATGTTTTCCCCTCAATTTTTTTAAAAAAGAAAGCTGTATGATGCAGTAGTTTTTGCTGCCCACAGAACCCAGGGTACAGTCACTGACCTCCAGGTGCTCGGCCTTGGGGTTCCAAGGGAGGCTGCTGTGGCTGTGGAGACCACGGGAGGTAGGCAGGAGGCCTGGGATGCTGGCTTCCAGACAGTGGTTTTGACCCTCCTGTTCCCAGGTCTCCCTGCAGGTGCTGGATGCCGTGGTCTGCTACAACTGCCTGCCTGCTGAGAGCCTGCCGCTGGTCATCGTCACCCTGTGCCGCACCGTGAACATCAAGGAGCTCTGTGAGCCCTGCTGGAAGGTGCACGGAGTCGCCGTCCCGAGAGGGCCTCCCCACGGGGCCGTAGACCTGGACCACGGAGGGGGCAGGGCCATCGGATTCACCTGTTGAGGGGCCGCTGCTGGCGTTTTTCCAGGCGTTTGGGAGCTCTGCTGCCCCTGTTGTGGGAGGAGCGAGGCTGGTGGAGGGGCTGGGTGTTCAGGGCCCCAGGATGGGTCTCGGCCGAGCCCTGATGAGTGTGCTCTTTGTCCCAGCTGATGCGTAACCTGCTGGGAACCCACCTGGGCCACAGCGCCATCTACAACATGTGCCGCCTCATGGAGGACAGGTGAGTGCGCTGTGGTCTGCGTGGCGAGGTCTCGGCTCTCACGGCCCACAGCAGTTCAGCTCGGCCAGCTTCCAGAGGAGTTGCGTGTGCTGGTTCCTCCTGACCTGCACTGGCCTGGGCGTTCCGTGTTCTAGAAGCTCTCACTAGGGCTCGCAACCAACTCTCCTCTCCTGCACCCATCAGACCGTAATGTGTGCCCCTTGTTCTGGTACGGAGGTAAGACTCAGGTCACCCTCGCCCCCACCCCCCACAGCCAAACAGTCTCTCGGGTTTCATTGGGCTCCTGTACCCCCTCTGGCCCTCCTGAAGTCCACTTGAACCTCTGGTAGCTGGGCCACTTTGCTGAAGGACCTTGCCTGACTGCACTATCATTAGCTAAAAAGTGCAGTGACTCCTGGTACCCCACGATGAAAGATAGACTCCTGGCCTTGGATGAGGCCCTGGTGCTGTGGCCTGGCCTTGCCTTGTTGACCTCTCCCCAGCTCTCCTCCCCACCCTTGGTCCTCTTGTCTTCCACATACCAGGGGACTTGGCACACTGTTTCCTCTTGCTGGCTGGCTCCTCCTCCCCAGCTGTGCCTTGAGGTCTCAGGCCAGCGAGCTGGTCCCTGGCCCCCGAGTTGGTTTCACTTGAATCCCGCACCCTTCTTCCACCGTCATTATTTTTGATTTCATCGAGAGATAATCCATACGTCGACGTGTCACCCACTTAAAGTTGCAGCTTGGTGGCCATTGGTTTGTGCACAGAATGTGCAGCCATCTCCACAGGCAGTTTCAGAACATTGTCATCGCCGCAGAAGAAGCCCCGGACCCTTCAGCAGTCACTGCTCAGTGTCTCTCGGCCCCCCAGCTCCAGGCAGCTGGTGGTCTGCTGTCTGTCTCTGGACCTTGCATAGGGATGGAGTCACACTCTGTGGCCTTTTGAGTCTGGCTGCTTCACTCGGCACTGGTTGTAGCATGAGTCAGAGTTCAGGCCTTTCTGTAGTTGAGTAACATTCCGTGATTGGACCGGTCGGTTTATCTGGTCATCCGCTGATGGACATGGTTTATTGCCCTGTATCTTCAGTTTTCTTTTTTTAAACCCATGCGTCGTTGCTATTGTTTATACTTTTTGCGTGTATGGAGTTTTACTGGTGGTGGTCTAGCTTTTTGCTTGTTAGAAAGTTTGACTCATCTTTATTTTTTTAAATTACTGTGATTTTGTCAGGCAGCTCTAATTAGGGATTGGAAAAAGTAAGCAAGAAGTGCAGTGAGTTCCTTCCTGTGGACCCCTCCTTCCTCTGCGATTTCGTCCTAATGTTAATGTCTCTGGAGCTCCTGGGTGGTGCAGGTGGGTAATGGGCTTGGCCGCTAGCTGAGTCCACGCAGGGCACCTCAGAAGAAAGGCCTGACAGTCTGGTTCTGGAAAGTTCACTCCAGGCAAGCCCTACGGAGCTCAGGTCCACCCTGGCACGCGTGGGACTGGCATTGTGTTGTGGTGTGTACCTTACAGGTGACGAGCAACGTTGGTATGTTGGTTAACTCAGATGCTTTGTGCGCGTGGGAGGAAGTGCAGCCACAATGCTCCCGAGAAGTGAGGACGGCCGGGCTTTATCGCTCGTTCTCGGGACGTGTTATCGGAGGGGCCGGTTCTCTATC